ATTATTAGGGCATACTCTTTCTCTTTTAGATTGGATTTGTACCTTCATCCCCGATCTTCCAGTCGTGGTTCAAGACCTATTAAAGTTAACAATATCCTGGATCGTTAAGGGGTGTAACCTTCACCTAGTGAACGGTTTACAAGTTCCTAAAACTTGTTAGCGACTTTCCTCTCTCTTCTTCACACTTTCTCTCTGTCTTCCTTCCAAATTCTCTCCTGCTATTTCTTTTCCTGGGGAATCTCTTTGCATATCAAATTCATTCATTCTCAAATCTTCATTGCCTTGTTAATTCTGATCAAGTAAGTTTTTTTATTTTGTTTTTCTTTTTTCTTTTTATTTAATTAGAGTCTCTATTTTCGAGTTTTCATTATTTCAAGTTTAAAGTAATTAGGGTTTTTGCTATTTTTTGATAGATAATTTTGCGATTTTTCTTATTTTGATTGTGATTTTGTTGAGATTTTTGTTGATTTTGATTGTGAATTTAGATCTTGTTGTGTATTCTCGTGATTTGTTTGTATATTTGTGATTTCAATTACAAAAATTGCGGTTTTATAAATTTGAGTCTGAAATTAAGATTTTGGTTGTTCTAGTATGAGCAATTTTGTTACGATTTTTGTTAACATTTCTCGGAATTTTTGGTCCTAGGTAGAGAATTTAACTTCACTTTTATTGTAGTAGTTTGAATTTTTTAGAAGTTTAGATAATGATTATATGTCGTACACATTGATGATATGTGTATTCTATGAATTTTTATTGATCGAATATTGCCTTATTGCATGGTTGTAATAGAGTGGCAATGTTTTTCCTGAGTAATTATGTATGTTATGCTTAGCTAATAAATTTAGATAAAGTTTGCAGTTGGTACTCTCAATTCAACATCATTTATTGTCTTGCTATTGTATCTTAATAATTGTATTTCCTTACTGTGAGTGTAGATTATGACATGCACTTCACCATATTGATTTACAGATTTTTTTTTATTTTGTTTTATTTACTTTTGAAATATTATTATTTACGTTAGAGTAATTTTTCCTTACTATGCATGATACACTAGCCTACTTGCTCAAGTAATTTACTTTTGAGCTCATATAATTTACTTTAGACTGTGGTTCTAATTGATGAGATGCACATTCGAGGCTTGGTTTTGCCAAATAAACAAGTACACGTGATCTAGTGTTAGATGATAGATGTGTATTTCTTGATTACTAGCACAAAGCTTACATGTATACTAGAATTAACATAAGTGGACGCAATGGGGAGGTTATGCCAGGTTTCCATTTTACACTTGCTCCTGTAGTGAGAATTTCAGGTTAGTCCTAGAGTTGGAATTGTTGCACGATTATCTTATCGGGTCTGATTGATATATTCTTGAGATATCCTATGTTTTTGCATTTGCAATAGTACCAAAGTGGGGGTAGTTCTAGGTGTAAACTCTTTTATTTACATATAATATAATCTTAATTAAAATAATACTAGTAATAAAAAAATTGGGGATAGTTTGATTTTTCTTTGATGTGAATTTGATATAATGAGTTTACTTGTTTAAGAGCACTTGTTGAGTTAAAGAGCCATTTTTTTTCTCTGTAACAGGAAAAACTAACATAATAAAGATATCATCGTCTACAACAACTTAATCTATCTCATGTTGTTTTGCTGTGGTGCTGTTTGCTGCCATGGGTTAGAAGAGTAGGTGGTGTTAACAGTTGGGGTGTTAGAGGTCATAATGATGTGAGGGTGACTTTTTTTTTTTTTTTGCTATGTGGGGGGTGCTTTGGCTGTGTAAGGACTAAGGAGCTACTATGCGGGGGTGTTTTGGCTGCATGGGAGAGCTACTGTATGGCATTACTATTTGGTGGAAGTAACAAAGGTTTTGTAAAGTATGTGGCACTATATTCTAAGCTCTAAAACTTACGTTTAATGTCACACTCATGCATAAGCTATATTCTAAGCTAGTTGGTGAGAGCAACAAAAGTACTACGAAGCTTGTGGTATTATACTTTGAGCTATAAAGCCATACTCAAAAAATATATTTGGTTTGTTTAGTTCAGAAAAATATATTCTGACCTATTAAGCCACACTCAAAGTTTGTGGCATTATATTCAGAGCCTAAGTGATTGTACCTATACTTCATTGATTATTTAATTTACTTTTGAGTATAATATATTTACTTTTATGATTATTATGTATAAAAAATGATTGATTATGTTAACTAATTATTCTTACTCTATAATAGCCTACTTGCTCAATAGGTAGAAGAATGTGCAATTGCACAAAAGATGTGGGTTCGAATCCCATGTAGGTTCTTCTAATGCTCCAAACCATTTGATTGTAAACATTATTTTTATATTAACTTTTAAGTTTTTCTAGTTTACTTTTGAGTAATTATTATTTACATTAAAGATGACATTATTTTATTTACTTTAATGATATTGTTTTTGAGTTGATATTATTTACTTTAGAGTAATTAGGATTTACTTTTGACATCTTTTGCTCTACTTTTGATTAAACCTTTACATTGAGCTTCATATACTTCTTTCTCATAACTTTAAGTCAATGACTCAAAAATTTTGTGCTATTTCCAAGTTTCCATAGTGTCATTGCTCATTAAAAGCCAATTAATTGTTTGTATAGATTAAGATAATTTGATTTACTTTTTGGTTATCTGATTTACTTTTGAGGTATTTTATATAACTTTAGAGTGTTTGATCCTTAACTTAAAAAAAAGTTCATCACCTCATCCCTAACTTGATATACTCACTTTTTTTGTGTTTACTATTTAGCTACTATGATTTACTTTTAAGATGATTTGGTTTACTATATGGGTTTTATAATTACTTTTAGAAACAACCTATGTAGGAGTCGAACCTACATCTCCTATGCATTTGCATAATGCTCTACCATTTGAACTAATAGGTTTTAGTATACTTTGTGTAATAATCATGTGCCATAAAAATATGGCACATGATTCATTGTATACTTAACAATTTAATTGTGTAGTTTCACCAGTTCATATCAACGTAACTGCTTCTCTTTTATTCCTATGTGTTCAAATGCTTCCTTGTTCATGTTAGAATAGTCTAGGTAATTTTGTCGTCGAAGAACCACTATGTTCTAAAATAGAACAACCTGTTTGATAATGCATGATCATTGGCAAGGCTTTGGGGTTCCAATTTGTTTCTTGACAATGTTCTAAAAGGTTTACTTTAAAGTTCTTTTTATTCACTTTAGATTCTTTTTAAGTTACTTTAGATAATGATACTCAAGTAGGTGATAATGATAAGAAATCTAACCATCATTCACTTGCTAGCTTTAATCGGCAATCCAGATAGACCACCACAAGATTATAGAGTCTCCAACAACCGTTGTGTGTACCAACTGTTGGTAAGCTCAGCAGATCAACTAATCATTTGTAAATCTTCAAACATATGAATGTTCTCAAGATAGCCTACTAGTATTTTGCTTGACTTAAAAATATGTGGTTTACTTTTAGTCTGAAATTTAGCTTTGCATAATACTTTCAGAACTTCTTAAAAAGAAATGTATCCTGCATATATATTAATCTGTTGCATATCAAATTAAGAGAACTTACACGTTCCTACCACCACAATATTTCAATAAAACCATATATGCCCCCAAGCTAAGGACTAGTCAGCTAACTTTCCAACACCTCTTGCTAATGGCTAATGAATAATCACTGCTACACCCATATATTAGAGAAAGTAAATGACCCTATTCATCCACGCCTTAACATTATCGAAACAAGCAGTTTAACGGACATACGAGGATCCGAAAGCAATAACAACATACTCTAAGCACCTATATATATATATATATATATATATATATATATATATATATATATATATATATATATATATATATATATATATATATATATATATATATATATATATATATATATATATATATATATAAACAAGGTTCAATAACAACAAAACAAAAATTAAGAGCAGAGTAGCAGACTAAACCAACACATACTCTAAGCACCTACATATATATATGAGAGAGCCCCGGTTACTCAAAGTGATAAACGAATTTGGTTAATCAAATGGCAATAGCGTAAATAGTTAGCCTTGAAATCCGTGAACAAATGTTTAAAAAAGACCATGTGCAAATATGACAGGTGGCACAAACGTTTGAAGATGGATGAGGAGTTAACGGCGTTTGAAACGGAAATAGAAGATCCGTGAGTATTGAACGTTAACTTTTTACAATGAGAGAGAAAGTGATTTGAGTAACTCTGTCAGAAGAGAGAGGAGAGAGAATAATGTAAAAAGAGCTTGAAATTGAAGAATGAAGGAGAAAGCAAATGAAAATCAACATTAACAGCTAGATTTGTAGTGAAGGCCATTAAAATTCTGGTATCAAATTGAGGTAATTTATGTTGTCAATCCGTGCAATGGGTGTTTTTCGTTGTTGATACTTGTTGATAATTGCGGGATATGATTTAGACGAATTAGCTGTCGTTGTTGATAATTAAGGTATTTGATTTCGACGAATTAGCTTTTGACGAACTAGTAATCTCGTAGAGAGGAAGTCAAGTGAAATTATCCATCCTGAGTACTGGTTTTGTAGCTTTGCAAAATTATCCTGTGATATTCTGTATATTTAATGCTAAGTTAAATGGTTTAATTGATTGTTTTTGTTGTGGAACTATTAACTTTAATTGAATTGTTTAATCGAATTGTTTAATTGAATTGTTTAATTGAATTGTTTAATCGAATTGTTTAATTGAATTGTTTAATTGAGTCCATGTTAAATAGTGCGGAATTCATCAATTCAGATTAGCTTGCCTTTACCTTAGCATATTGTAGTTTTTGTGATTTCAAATAGATTACTAGTTATATTCTGTAAATGTAATGTAATATGTAATGTAAAAACGCTGGTTTACTAGTTATATTCATCAGTGTTAATGTATAATCTCAATGCGGGTTGTGATACAGGTAACTAACTATTAATTATTGACCATTTGTGATATTATGGATGGCGATTGTGATGCTTTGGACAACGTGGGTGGTGAGGGGTGTTGGTCTGACTATGTAGATGAGATGGATGACATTGATCTTATGCCTCCGATGTCCCCCATTCGCGAAGAACAATCTGTTAAAGTTGTTGAATACCGTTCTCCCATTCATACAGTGCAAACTATAGAGACAATAGTTTCAACTAATAGGAAGAGTCCAGGTCCTGTTGTTGAATCCCCTAAAGTTGGCATGGTTTTCAGAAGATGGGAGTATATAGAGATTTATTACAAAAAGTATGGGGAGCAGGAGGGGTTTGGGGTTACGAGGGTGCAAGGAACGAAATCTAAAGTTACCAATGAGCGTAAGTGCATAACATGGAAGTGTGAGTGTTGGGGTGCCCCTAACATGAGGGCTCAAAGGGAGGCGAAGAAGAGGGAAAAGGCGATGGATGTTGCTGGGTGTGGAGGTAATGTTAATGGAGTCATAGGAGTGCAAGAGCATGCCCAAGGCAAGAGAAAGTCAAAGAAATGTTACTGCCCTGTTATGGTATATGCCGGGGTTAATGAACATGGGGAGTGGGAGTTAAGGAAGGTTTGTAATGAGCACAATCATGACCAAAAGCCCAGTGATGCAGTGTTAGTTAAAGAATATAGGATGAAGAACTACACCTCAAATGTGAGAAAGACTCTGATTAATTTTTATGAAGAGGGTGTATCTGTTTCCAAAATTCGTAATGGTCTGTCACATACGAAGGACGTCTTGCCTTCTTTGAAGGATATGGAACATGAGGTTTATAAAGCTAGGAGACTGAAAATGGAGGGTGGTGATGCGACAGCCATGATGGGTTATTTTGACCGGATGCAAGCGGACAATCAGAATTTTTACCATTGTCACCGATTAGACCAACATGGTCGGTTGAAGGATGTGTTATGGGTGGATGCGAGGAGTCGGGCTGCATATGAGTATTTAGGGGATGTAATCTGTTTTGATGCTACCTATTTAACTAATCGATACGAACTTCCATTTACGAATTTCGTGGGTGTGAATCATCACGGGCAGTCCATCCTATTGGGTTGTGCACTAGTTTCACGAGAAGATGCTGAAACATACACATGGGTTTTTCGACAGTGGCTTGCTTCCATGGGAAACAGACCTCCACTAGCTATTCTGACTGATCAAGCAGCATCCATGAGGAAGGGCTTAGTACAAACAATGCCAAGCTCCAGGCATCACTGGTGTATATGGCATATTGTCAGGAAGTTTGGTGACAAACTAGGAAAGTGCGACAAGTAAGTGATTGGTTGTTTTGCCATTTGTTTAGTGTTCAACCTTATATTATTGGTTGTGACCATGTGTTTGTGGTTGTTTTGAGTTTTGATTTAGTCAATACTTGCATTTTAAACTTATGGTGTTGTTATAATGAAATTATATGTGTTACAATAGGTACAAAGAGTTCAAGAGCCCCTTGAAGGCCATAATATATGAGAGTTTTACTGTGGAAGAGTTTGAAAGAAGGTGGCACGAGTGCATTAAAAAATAAAAGTCTAAGAAGAATGAGTGGTTGGATGGCTTGTTTAAGGAGAGACATATGTGGATTCCAGCTTTTATGCGGGAGTATTTCTGGGCGGGGATAAAAACCACGCAACGAGTGGAGAGCATAAACAGTTTCTTTGATGGGTTTGTTAATCGGAAAACCAGATCGTGTGAATTCCCTGTACGTTACACAAGGGCAATGAAGAAGAGGGTTTCAGACGAGAGTGAAGGCGACCAAATACATCAGACGCCTTGTTAGTGGTTTTAAACATGAGAAATTGTTCCAAAAGTTATACACCGATGCTAAGTTTCAGGAAATTCAAAGAGAACTTACACGAATAATGTACTGTTATGATGGTGAGGTAACTGTCATTGATGAAAGTACGATTCAGTTTGTGATTGATGATAGAGTGTGGATTGTACCGGAAGGTGAAAGCGAGGAACTAATCATTGATCGACGACGTAACTACTCTGTCTTGTTCAATCATGTGACAAAGGAGGTTTCATGTGACTGTAGAAGGTTTAAAACCCATGGCATCTTATGCAAGCACTGCATACGTGTGTTGGATAAGAACAAGGTGGAAAAGATTCCCGACAAACACATTGTCGATAGGTGGCGTAAAGATATTGTTCGGAAGCACACTAGAGTGAGGGTTGCGTACCATGATCCCACTCAAACCCTCGAAGTTAAGAAGTTCAACAACATGATGAATGTGTTTGAGCCAATATGTGATGATGCTGCAGTTGCTGATGATGAAACAGTGGACATAGTCGTCAAAGCATTATCTGAACTCCATATCGAAGTCAAGGAGAGGAGAAAGAAATACATGGAGTTAATTGCTACAACAAACCCCCCGTCTACTGAACCTCCACCCCAGTCAGAGATAGACTCCAACAGTTCATGTCCACCCCAGTCAGAGATAGGCTTCCACAGTTCATGTCAACCATCATCCTCTAATCAACAGGCTACAATTTTAGATCCGCCAATCAAGAAGCGAGCTCGGGGCAGGCCTAAAGGTTCGAGGAATAAATCATATTCTGAGACGGGTTATAAACCACCTAAGACCAGGAAAACCAAGGTAATTTTTGACTCATGTGACTATGGCTTATGAAGCTCATGTGGCTATGATGTTTGATGTAAACACATTTATTATGACTTTGTTGAACAGGGGGTGAAGCAGAATGATGAGTTGGGAGAGTTGTAGGTATATTATCGTCTTGTTTCATCAATTTGTTCATTAAGCAAGCCTTAAGTGGTTGTGTTGTTATAAAAACTCTAATGTGTGTCTATTTAATTATACTAACCAGGACATGGATCTCAGTGAGGCTGATGTATGCAACACCCAATATGGTAGTGCTGATGATGCTGATGCATGCAACTCCCAACATGTTGATAGTGTAAGCCTTGCTGATGATGCTGACTTAGTGCTGACCAAAGGGAGTTCCGTAGCGTTTTGAGGTTATCCATCTAGTATTACTAACCCTTACAACTTGTACCTTCTGCGAATATTGTACTATTTTTCTGTAGTCTGTAATATCAAGTAGTAGGAATATGTAGTAGTAATTTTAGTAAAATCTAGTAACTGATTTGTTGGATTAAGCTTACAATTTCGGATTTCGTTGATGAACTAAACTAAGGTTGTGGTGATGATTTCGTGATATAAACTGATCCTTTGTTGGATGACTTAAGGTTGGGTCAGTGATATAAACAAGGGACAAGGGAAAGCCTCTTATTGCAACAACTTACTTATTGGATGTTGGCCCAACCTGCAACAATTTACATAGTGGGGTTTGGGCCAGCTATACGTACAATTTATTGGTCCTATGTAATGTTACGCTTATTGACAAACACCTACACATATGGACTTTCTATTGTACCAAGTTTAAGCAGGGAGTTTGGTTTTGGTAAATGGATGATGGGCCCTATTACATTACAAACATATTATCAAAATAAAACACATCTTACATAGTTGGACTTTCAATAATTTGGCAATCAGCATATGTTGAAATTGGGCCTATTGTACCAAGTTTAAGCAGGGAGTTTGGTTGTGGTAAATGGGCCCTATTCCACAACAAGTGTAGTCCATAACAAACATATTCTCAAAATAAAACTCAGACAATACATTACCACAACAATCTAAGTGTAGTCCATAACAATACACAATACCATTACTACATGAATATAGTCCAACTAACCCATAACAAATCCAGTTCACAATTTAGAATTTAGTCCAATAACTAAGTACATGAGACCATTGCAGCCAACTATCAAGTCTAGTCCATATTATTTAATAATAGCAGTCACCAATGTTAGGTGATACTACCCTAACAATGGCGTACACAGCTCCACCTCCTACCACATCATGGGAAGGATATACACACGCTTGCGGTTCCTGATACCCGCACTCTGAATCGTGTGTTGTGGTGTTAAGATCACGTTCTTGTGCAACAGGACAATGCGACTAACATCAACCTTGAAAATATCAGCATCCATATAGTAGATTTTTTTTATCCTGACATGCAGCTGTGCTTGGACCTTCATCTTCTTGGAAGACCCACTGATATCAGCAAGATAGAACCTCCTCATTGATGTATTCATGTTGGCTTTTGGATCCTTAATCACAAATATCATAAAGTTAAGCCAAATGTACCAAGTTTATCATAAAGTCAAGTGAAATATACCAAGTTTATCATAAAGTTAAGCCAAATATACTAAGTGTGTACGCCAAAAATAGCTTTTTTTTACTTTTTCAGATCATGACAACTTAAGAAATTTTAATAAAACTTACGAAATTAAAAAGAACATAATAACTTACGAAATTTTAAACCAAATATGTTAGATTTAATAAAACTAAGTTCAAGCCATTAAAAACAAAATATATTAGATTTAATGAAACAAAATATATTAGATTCAATGACACAAAATGTATTAGATTCCATCTACATGAAGATTTATCATAACAAGATAATTAGAACAACACAAGCACCATAGTTATTTTAGCGCAATTCATGTTACATATTATCCATGAAATAGATTTAATGATACTTAGCACATAAGAACACAAGTACCTTCCCATTGGCGATTAAAATTGATCCATTCCTAATTGAAGCTTGTCGAGCGGTGTGTTTTGCATCAATAGGTACACCATTTGTTTCCTTTGACAGCCAAAAGGATGTGGGCTGGCAACCAAGTCTAGCAGCATAGTCGTTGTAGATGTCATCAAAGGTTTGATCTATGGTGATAGTGTACATCACACCTATGTCTCCAGGTGATAAGCTCCTCACAATCACCCCAAACTCTTTAGCAGCATTCGCATTGGAGGACTCTCCCACAGTGGGTCTAACTTCAGATTCATCTTCAGTGCAGCTGGAGGAGTCACTACCAGAGGATTCATCATTCTCCTTGCTAAAAAACGTCCTCAGTTGAGTCAGCACCTTGCTTTTCACACATGGATTGAGCACCTCTTTCCGATAGTAAGGATGCACCTCACCCTCACCAAACATTGAGGATGCTTTCTTAGACTCTAGCTTCCTTTTTTTTCTGGCTAACCTTCTAGCCTTTTTTGCTGACAATACCCCCTTCCCTTTCTTATCTTTGCATATCCCATCTTCAGCCATTCCCTTCCCCTTATCTCCTTTGCTTGGGGTTAAGGCAAGTGACTTGCGTTTTCCCCTACCAATAACTGGGGGTAAGGCATCAGAAGGGGTGAGGGCAATGGCCTTTCCCTTGTCTATAATCTCAGATGATAAGATCTTTTTCTTTTTGGCCCTATCTTCCTCACTGGGAGAGAGACTAGCTATCTTCTCCTTTGGTTTGGTCGGAAAAGCAGCGTCATCACTCATGTTGTTACTAACACCTTGGGAGATAACATCAGCTTTCGAGGAGGAAGGCATTTTGTTTGTAGTTTGTTTAGGAGGCTGGTGGTGAGGAAGCCTATACAACACACCTTTATATAGGAGCATATTTAAAGGGGTAATGGTTATGCTTCTTAGTACCACATTTTATAGATGACCAATTTTGCATAAAACCAAATTATACACCGTGAACATCTTAGGTAACATCTTTTCTAATATGTAAATAGACGTTAATAAGGACGTCCACTTAATATCTTTACTAATACATTGTTACCCGACTCAACTAGTCGTTAGTAACAACATACATTAACATTGTTTAATTTTTGAAAACGTATTTAATGTAGCATTTGTAATTTTATACATAATTCGATTTCGGGTACCTAAGTAAATTTTTGTGTATTCTGTTGAATATAGGAATATAGAATAGTTTTATTATGTTACGATGTGATGTTTATTACAACAATATATGTAAATATTAAAAAGCGAGTTATAAATTACAATGTATAATAAATTACAACTTTATGTAATAACAAATTAATAACCCGGGACATCGTCGGGGGTCTGAAAAAATGACAGTACTGATTATAAATTAATGAAATTCATCCAAATTTAATCAATTTAGGTGAAACCCCGTGCAATGCACGGTTATTGATTATTTATAATGTAATACAGTTCGTATTTAAAAAAAAAAACATGAGAGAGAAAATATTTAAAATTGTGATTGTTATAATGTGCAAGTCGATATTTTTGGAAGTTGACTTTAGAATTTATATAAAATAAAGGTCATAATCTAAATGCAATCCTTTTTTTAAGGTAATAATATTTATTTTGTATAAAGTAATTTTGGACGAAATTTTATAAATAACACATTGACAAGTGTCCTTTTAGATTCGCTGTTAGTAGTA